CTCAGACTTTCAGGAAACTGCCGATCTGGAATCCTGGATTTTGTGATTAATGGCTATGAATAACAAACGTCTCACAACTTTTTTTTCCTGTCTGCAGCAGAGTACAGGTTACTGAGCCTCCTGCACACAGGGAAGTAGAAATTGAGCCCAGCAACTGTAGTTTGTTGTATCTCTGTATTTGAACGTGCTTGGTTGGAAGTTGCTAATTTAAAAGCAAATCCCAGTTCATTTAGCCCAGGCTCTGGAATAAGCTATGGGAAACTGGGAGCTTTCTTAAGGTGAGGTGAGAGAGAGAGAGAGAGAGAGAGAGAGAGAGAGAGAGAGAGGGAGAGAAAAGCAGCAGCTCCTTGGGAAAGGATGGAGTGGCTTGCCATGGGACAGTCATTAACACTGTGGCTGCTGAACCCCATCTGTTTCTACTGACTACTAGGCTAAGGCCATTACTTAAATACAGCAAATCTGTCTGTGACACCTAAGGGCACCTCAGACACTCCACATGAGTGGAGATGTTCTGCACACCCTGCCCTCAGGTAGTCTCAAGAGATGCCCTCTACCACAGTTACCCAAGACTGTGCCTCTGAGCAAGAGCTTGGTATGAAATAGGGCTCCTGATTTTCTCCCTTTCAATCTCCTTACCTACCTTACAGCAGTGGTCTCAAGAATGCTGAAGCTTTCCTTAGTGGGGTGAATGGAAAACAGGCTTAAAAAGCAGAGGCACATGATGCCTTTTCCCTCTAATTGTCAGGATGGGTTTAGTTCAGCCTTTGTACTGGAAATAGACCAGCACGAACCTGCAGGAATGGCTGAGGAGGTGGAGGGAGTGCTTGTGTGGGACTCTAGAAGGGATGTGTTGTGTTTGTGTTGTGGTTAGTGAGTACTAATGTCTGTAATTAGCCATTGACATGTGCTCTTGTCTCTGTGCTAGTACTGCTTTGTTAGAACAGAAGCACTAAATAAGCTATGAATATTAAGTGTCAGTAATTGTACAAATCTAAAGGCTGCTGTGTTGGCAGTAATTAGCAGCTCTGATTTCATTATGGCTGGGACCATGTTGATGCAGTGAGGGAGGGCTGTGCTTGATGAGTGGAGTGGGAGATGGCCGTAGGACTAGAACTGTCAGCAGCCAAGCTGAACTCTGTTATTTCACACGAGGGGAAAGAGGGGATGATCCTAGCTGCTTTCCCTTAAGTGGGAAGTGCTGTTTGTTTGCAAAGCTCCATAGGACAGCTATTACTGATTATAGTAGGTTTGTGGTGAGTGATTAGGTTGCTGCTCCTGGCAGGCTTTCTAAATTCTTCATTAAGGCCTTTCCATTGCCTGCAATGACAGTTTCATTCTCTGAAAAACGTGGGGGGAGGTAGGTTTTTTTCCCTAATGTCCTGACTCCTTCCAGCAAATACTGAACTGAATTCAAGTGAAGCTAAAATTAAGAAGTTTGTTTTTGTGGAAATCTTTCAGGCTTGGCAGTTGCTATACTTTGGGAGCTGTAGAGTTTGTAAGGTGAATGAATGCACCAGTCTTTTCTAAGACACTTGTTAAGAGTATTTATCTGTGGCTCCCATTGTAAGGGCAGCTGTTTCTGGATAGGATGAAAGTGTTTTCCTTTCCCTCCCCTGCCAAATTAATCTTTCTCTCCTCTCTGCCCACAGCATCTGCCATTACAGCCGCCTCTTCTGGGAGTGGGGGGAAGGTGTCAAAGTGCACGACTCTCAGAAAAGACAAGATCCAGAGAAGCTGTCAAAAGAGACTGTCCTGTCTTTCATCCAAGCACACTACCCCTAACCCTGCTCCCTTGAGGGTACAGGGGGAGTCTGAGCCCAGCTTGGATTCTTCAGGGACTGATGAGACTGGGGAGGCTCCACAACTTCTATCCTGGTCTTCTCCAGAGCTGATTTCCTGGAGGTGATCGAACTAGGGGGTGGTATGCAGAAGGCACAGGATGAGGCCCTACCTTGGCAGTGTATATAGAGTACAGCCCAGGTAGCACCTGCTGCTGGAGTACCCATGGTGACTCCTGGAGCCAAGGCCTAATGCCCTTTTGTCCTGCCCTACTGCATGCATGAGGCCAAGGGGCTGGCAGCTTTCTTTGCTCCTGCTCAAACATTCAGCAAGGTTTGTGGAGCTCTGTGTGTGCCAGAACTTTCCAAGCTTGTGCTTCTCTGGCAGTATGGGAAGGAGCAGAGATGTTTTGATGGCAGAGCTTGGCAACTGCACGTTGAAGCAGCCCTGCATTGTTCCTGGCAGCTATGTCTCTTTGGCCTTGTCAAAGGCCTACACTGCCCACTGGAGGGTGTTAACTCTTTGGGGAATGCTAGCTGTGGGACACAAGTTATGTATCCTTGTTGTCTTCAACACTTCTGTTTATCAAGGCACTCGGCCTGGCAATTCTTACGTGATGGTATCCTGTTGGACAAATGCCAGTGCAGATGATGAGTAGAGCTCCTGGCACAGATCTGAAGTGCTCAGTGCAAGGGCTTTCTCAGACCTCTAGAACCTGCTGTGACAAGGATTTCCCCTCTCTAGGTTAGTGACTGATCCCAAACCAGCAGCCTAGGGTTTATTTGTGAACATGTACCATGGTTGGTGTACTTGCCTCATGGTACTTCTGAGACCAAGGTGCTTTGGTTCTGGGTACTCAACACCATTACCCAAATCTTCAGGGAGAAAAGCAGATGTGGGAGGGAAGACACTGGAAGGCTGGGATGCTGGAGTCTTTGGAAGAAATTATGGGGATGTCTGACTTAATTAAAAAGACCCAGGGCTTCAGTGAAAAGGGATCTTGACTTTGACCATGTTGGTTAATTGGAAGAAATCCTGTCCCCTGATTGTACCCCCTGGCAAGGTAATTAGACTTCCCTTTTTAAATGTCAAAGTGGCTTTGAAACCCTTTGTATCTCATTTGGCTGTGGAACTGCATCTGGGGTGAAGGCATAGAGCTGTGAAACTCTCAGCATGGTATTTGTGTCCAGACTTCTCCATGCACTTCTGTGCCAGGCTCAAAGTTGGCTTCTGTTGCATGTTTTACCTTCACTTCTGGCTTCCATGGCACTTTGCCAGGTCTTCCACGTAAATCAGAAGATAACACATCGTTGAATGCTTTTGACCAAGCAACAAAATTGCCCTTTTTTTTTGTTTGGTGTTTTGGTTTGTTTCTTTTTTTGTTTGTTCTTGTTTTTAAACACAGATTGGCAGTAGGGAGAAAAGTGATTTAGGTCTGAAGTGTGCCTTAAGGAAAGCTATAGTTCTAGAATCTATAGCAGTTATTAGATAGATTTTTTTCTCCACAAGCATACATATGATTTGAACAAGCTTGTGTAGCAAAACAGAAATTTTCACTTAGATACAGGTCTATCAAAGCAGTTGAAGGACTGCAGGCTGTTAATGCTTCCTCTTGCTGACCTGGAGACTCCCTCTGCTCTCAAACATCAGTAAAACATGTATGAAGTAAGTGGTGGCCCTTCCTCCAAAAGAATGAAAGTGTTTCATTGGTACCTTTTGTCTTGGCACAAGCACTTCCACGAGGAACAAGGAGGAATCTCTCCCACTGGGCAGTGAAGCACCTCCCTCCAACTGTGTGGTGTCTGGGCCTGTGTACAGTTGGCTTTTTAAACCAACCAGTAATTGAGTTCTGGCACTTGTGTGGACTGCCTTGAGTCTGTTCCAGTGCCAGCAGAGCATGCTGCTCCCTCTGCCAGGCTCCTTCTCTGAGTGTTGTACCCTCCACTCAGGGCTTTGACTTCTGTGGGCTGGCAGACAGAGGGGTGACTTAAGAGGGACACTAGGGTGAGTGTAGGCCTCTGAGGGTACGAGAATGCCTGGTCAGCCTGCAGGCTAGCTTTTATGAACAGATACTTTGTTTACTCAGTTGTCTCCAGCTCCTCATTTAAATTTGCTTTTAATTTTATTTTTGATGCACTGAACCTTGATTCCAAATCTCCCTTCAAGAAGGCAAGCTTGAGCCACCATGCTACTTGCTTCCCTGCTGAGAGATTATGTTGGGAAGGGGTGGGTGAGTAAGGTCTTGCTGAAGGGAATGTTATGTATGTTAATTGCACAATGTATTATTAGGCTTTGTATCATTTTGTGTTGATTTCTCTGCTTTCATTGTCTCTATTACCAATACAGCCCCTTTAGTTCACAGGAGTGCTTGTTTACTTTGCTTCCTCACAAAATTCTGGCCAGCAGTGTGTGTCAGTGTAGCGACTGAGATATGCCTTGCAGAGTTAAATTTTCAAGGCAGTCCCTTCTAAAGGCTTTCTGCCAAGTTAGAGCATGCTGAGGGCTACTTACTGTATGTCCCTGCATTGGAATGAGGGGACTACAGGGGACAGTCTCCAATGCTCCTCTGCAGCATGCTAGACTGCTTTTCCTCTCAAAGGAAGTAGATTCCAGGCTACAACAGACCAGTAACCACTGTTGAGATCTCACTGACCAGGGATGCTAAGTGCCTAACCCAGTCTAGGCTTATTGTGGTGCAATGTGTGCCAGCAGGGAGATGGTAGGATGGGAATAAAGCACTGCCTGAGAAACAGAACGAGAAATTACAAAAAAAAAAAATCACAGAACAGGAAATTACAAGGTTGGATTATTTTATTTAAAACCCTACAGAAGCACTGCCATTTCTGGCAGTTGCTAGTAAATTCTCTTCTGCAAGTGCTGATTCTCAAAGGCACAAAATGGCTACCAAACTCTGATGCACTGGAGAGGCAGGCAGATCTCAAAGCCCAAGCACCCAGATCTCAAGTTGTATGCTACCTGCTTGCAGAAAAAGAGATACCTATGTACCTATGGTTTTGTGGAGGTAGGATTCCTTTGGTCCTGTAAGTCAGGGTGGAGAAGGAAACATCTTTTGTGCAGCTCTGCAAACGCATAAAATCTTAAGGTCGCAATTCCTCAAGATTACACTTCAATTGAAGTTGGTGTCCCTTCATCTTATGGCTGAGTCATAGGAGCCAAGAAAGTGGCGTGTGTTCCACCAGGGCTGGGCAGAGAGCACCTGTCTGCAACCACAGGGGTCCTCTTCAAAAGGGAGAACAAACTGTCTTCCTGCATCAGGCTGGGTGATCTTGACTGTGTTTTGGGTAAGATGGCACCACCTTGAGCTCTGTTTGACCTGATTTTCAAGTGCAAGTGTGGTGTGATTTCTGGTTTGTCTCCTGTCCCCCTCAATTTGCAGAGAAAAATCTTCCCTACAATGAGGCTTGGAGACAGTAAACAAGAACAACATTTTGAAATGCTGATCCTCACTCTTGGAGGCACAGTGGTGAGAGGAGGAAGCATTCCTTGCAGGAGAGTCATTTGGTCAGCAGGGAGAATTCTTGACTGCAATCACATCGTCCAGCAGGCGTAAATAAGAGCAATCAGCAACGCCATGGCCACAGCAAGGGCAGCATTCTTGCGATTTTCCTTGCGAAGCGCACTCAGTTCTTTCTCTGGGAAACAAACAAAAGCCTTGCCTGTGAAGGTTCGTCATGTTGCAGCCACATCCACTTTCAAAACTCTCTTAAAAGCACAAAGCTACCTTGGCCACGGGCAACATTTTGGGAGTGGTATGCAAAGCTGCCAATTATAGGATGTGCCAAACAGGAAGTAAACTAGCGGGAACCCTTTCATTTGCTAACTCTCATCCTGACACTTGTGCTTGGGAATACTTCAGTGCCAGACCAGTTTCTGTTTGCAAACGACATTGCTGTAGGCCTCTACTAAGGACAGAGTTTGTCATTAGAATAACTGTTTGTTCCCTAAAAGAATGAAGGAGACAGAGGGCTGAGAGCTATTTCTAATATCTTCTAGAGGTAGCAGCCTGGTAGCTTTTTCTAGCGTTAAAATTTACTTAAATACAACTGTGGCCACCTTTGAATGTTGCAGAATGTGGGTTTCCTTGTGCTTCAGAAGGATGAGTGTGGAACAGGTCTGAGAGTAGACACTCATTCTGTTGGGGTCTGAAGCTTTTTAGAGGCAGGTTGCCATTCCTTGCCCTGGTTTACAGAACCACCACAGATACACAGAGATGAAGGAAGTGGCTACTGCAAGTAGGGAGCCTTCTGATCTACATTTCATTTCTGTTTCCTTTACAAAAGATGAGAACTCCAGTCTGGCTACTTTGGTTCCACAAAACTTTGCTGGGTGGCACAGGAAAGCAGTGAGGCCTACAGCACTGAACACTGCATGGTCAAACAGCAGTAATTGTTTAGCAGGGCAAGGTTGGGTGGGGCCTGTCTCCAGAGTCAGACTGCTTTTGCTGCTGAGTTCATCTGCAGTAACTGCACAAGTTACTGCCTCTACAGTTTGCACAAGCAGCCTCCAGCAGTTCCTAAACTGGTGTTGTTATCAAAAGAGACTCTTAGCTGTTTTTTCTGCCCCCATTCTTCATGTAATGCAAGCATTCTCATGCAACTGCAGAGCAACCTGCTTAAATCTGCAAGGCCACAGAGGAGGTGACACGGGCAGGAGGTCACATAACCTCACACACAGCAGTGCCAGCCTGAAGTGATGGAGCAATGCCATCGTCAGCAGCTGCAGTTCATGACCTCAAGTGTGTCAGTTGGAATAAGTAAAGATTTAATCAGAGGCCATAGCAGTGATCTAAAAAGACTCTGTGCACATGCACTGTGTGTTCTGTTCAGAAGGAGCAGCCATCACCATTAGGTGAGGCTGTTGCTGCTGTCTGAGCTGCTGTCAGACTACTTTGCTGCCAGTGCTGGCTGACTGCTGGCTGGTGAAAGAGTGGCAGTGATGTGTAGAGTCTTCTGCCGTCTCTAGTGGTAGCTCCTCAGGGAACAGCTTTCAATCTATTTAAAGTAATGGCTACTCTTCTGGAAACAGTCCTTTAACAGGAGTTATAATTAAAAAGTTGCTGGCTTTCCACTCTCCAGGCCTTAAAGTACTGTCAAGCAGGTAACACACTGATCAACACTAGGAGCCCGAAGATGTGCAAAGCAGCATTCCTGGTGGAATGGACATGCTGTCAAGCTGTGGTAGCTCAGAGGGACTCTCATTTTAATTGTATACAGCAGGACTTGCAGCAAGGAAAGACCCTGGCTCTCTAGAACTGCAGGGAGCACATCAGTGTGAATCCCTATGGTCCTGTGCTGAGTGGCCCCAGAAAGTGATGCAGTAAGAACCTTCCCCAAGGAAGGTATGCTTTCAAAACTCCTGATAACACTTGCCAGCTTGCTTAGCAAGCTTCTATTAAAAAAAAAAACGAAAAAAAAAAGGGGGGAAGAAATGTTAAAAGCTACTCAAGCTGATCTGTTAGCTATGATTATCTAAAGACTAGTAATTTGGGGTATGTGAAAGGGACATTTTCCCCCCTTCATTAGCTGATGCTTATTTTTTCCCCTATGGTAGCACAGCTCAAGCAGGAGGATACAGACTCCTATTATAATATGCTGACTACATTTCCCTCAGTCTAGCTCCCTTTGGCTGAACCTAAATTCAAAGGCAGAAGTCAGAGGTGGCAGGAGCTTGAAGACAAAGCTAAGCTGCAGCACTGATCCCATCCAGCCCAGAGGGACCATTTTTAATGAAGCTCTTACCATAGTTGTCAGCTTTGGTCATTAGTAAGTTTCTCTCTCTCTCCAGTGACTTTCTGTAATGAGAAGAGGAGTTCATTACCTGCGAGGCACAACACAGCCTATTTCTTTGCTTACATGATGGAAGAGAGACTGTCCCACTGCTGGGGATATCTGCTCACAGAATGAGCCCCTCACCCTTCACTGTGGAGTGATGGCAGTTTAGAAACACCCAGTTGGGCAAGAGAAGCGATGCAGTATTTTAGATTATTTTTGCCTTCCCTGAAACTGCTTCCTGTCTCTTCTTTCAGGACAGTGTCAGTGTTCCTGAAGCAGCTACAAAGGGGTCTGTGTGTGAGAGAGCCCCTACTCTAGTTCCCCCAGGTGAGGCAGGGTCCCCAAGTGCTCTCTGCAGAATCCTGCACCTCCAGCACACTGGCTTAGTGCTGCAACAGTAATTCTTCTCATTGATAGAAGCTGAGATCCCTGTGTTGGAGGTATCCAATTTACACAAATTGGTGAACTCAAGGAAACAAGCTGAATCCAAGCTCAGTAGCAACCTGTTAAACAACCTGTTATTGTGCTGAAAACTTATGATAATAACAGGCCAACCCAGCTCTTGTCTTAAACTGCACAAGATGATTAATTAATACACAGTTTAAAATATAAATGCAAAACAAAATTCCTGAAAGCAGCAGCATTTCCATTCTGGCAGTGCAGACACGGTCACTCCTGTCAGACTATGAACATCAATACATGTGCACTAACAAATTATCTCCTGGTTCAGAGAAGGCAGTAAGTGTAACAGAGTTTGTTGTTCCCCTTGGGGCACAGCAAGAACTTGTAGGAGGAAAGAAATCCAAATCTATTTGTACAGCTAGTTAAGTAAAGGATGGCAAGAAAGCAAGCTACAGCAGAGCAGCAGGAGAGGAAAGGGCTCTTAAATACAACTGGGGAAAGGCAATGGGGAGAACAGCCAGGAGGAAGTGAGAAGACATTTACCAACATGACTGAGCTGCTACTTAGAAACTTGCCTTGTGAAGATAGTCAAGGGAAGAAGCTTTGAGAATGAGACATGAAGAAACCACGACAACTGAACTTCAAAGTGGGAAAGCAGAGCTCTCCTTTGTGTACTGTGCACTGAATCAATAATTTTTGTCACGGTACGTACCTTCCTTCAGGGTTTTTCAAATGGTCTGGAATAGGGCAACTGAACTTCTGTTTCTATCTCCATACAAGCTGTAAAATTCAGAAAAGGCCCCAGGAATCCCTATTTCTAATTCTTTGCTCTAGGCCCTATATTTCAGAAAGAAACCATCATCTATTCCATCCTGTCAAGTTATCACAACTTGTAGGTTTGGTTGTTGGCCATCTAAGTACCAGATAAAGAATACACACAGTAAACAAGAATTTAGGCCTAGAAAAGGACTGATGAGATGAAGAGCTAAAGAGATGAGGGACAGGACCCTGTGTAAATATTTATGGGGACCCAAAACCCCAGTAAAGGAGCAACGGAGAGTGCAAATGAGAGTTTAACAAAGAAGTTAAACTGAGGCTGATAAATATCAGAGTATGGAGACATCACCACTGCTAGGATCATTTCTAATGGGTTATGTTGGACAGCATTGTAGAGCAAACACCAGGATCAAGAGAACCACTCCCTGGGTCTATAACTGAGCTTCCTGGCCTTTTTTGCTAGGAGCAGAGCAGTAGGATGCTGGTCACAGAGTCACAAAATATTCTGAATTAGAAGGAACCAACAAGGATCATCAAGTCCAACTCCTAAGGGAATGGCCCCTACAGGGATCAAACCCATGACCTTGGTGTTAACAGCACCAAGCTCTGACCAACTGAGCTAATCTCAGGTGACTGAAAGAATATCCTCAAACTGAGAGATTTGAGAATCAGCTGGAAGATTTAGGATCTCATGCTTCACACTCAAGAGAAAGCAGGTTCTGCCTCTGTCTGCTACAAAATCCAGGCCAAAGTCCTTGCTTGAATCCCAGCTCTAGAAGCCAACAGTTGCTACAGATTTCAGGAGGTTTGTCCCTCTCAGCTTTCCCAAGAAAAGCCAGTGTGTCAACGCATCCCTACATCCAGACACATGTGCAACATAGGCACAGGAAATCTCCCTCAGCCCCTTCTGCAGTTGTATCCCAGCCTGGTTTGACCCTCAGTAGTAGCTGCTGCACATCTCCCATGACTGAACTCATGCAGCTTTGGCAAGGCTTGAGCAACAGCGTGCAGCAAAGCTTTGCCAGACTCACAGAGCTGTCTCCTAGCAGGCCAGGAGTCAGATCTGCAAATTAAGTGGCAAGTTTTGGGCACTGCTTGTCTGGTTTTGGTGCAGGTTGGAGTCAGCCTGTTAACAAGATAAAGCTCTCTCCATATATCACTGAACTTCTCACACGGCAAGTTCCCCAAGTAAGCTCCAAGCTGGGGGAAGAGAATCTTGTCATGGGGAACCACAGACTCCCATCCTTTCAAGAGCCCTTGCTCAGTACTACAGCAGGGTGACAGGTAGCTGAAGTGCACAGCCACAGCTGTGGAAGGAGGTGGTCATCACTACCTTCCTTCAGGGCTGAGCTTCTCCCTGCGCAGCTTAAGATCCACCTCTTCCATGCTCTGTCTGCAGCGTGCCAGCTTCTCCTCCAGTCCATCGATCTGAAAAACATCACACCAGTCACCATCATTTCCTGCCTCAGCTAACACCAATCCATTCCCACCCAGATGAGAAGGGTGGCAGCTCAGCCACTCCACCTTCTTCCTGCCCTAATCAAGGGAGGAGCCCCAGCTCTGTGTAGAGATCACAGCACAGAAAGCCCTTCGCCTCCCAGATCAGCCTGTATTATACCCCAGGCAACTGTGACATCGTAATGCCAGACACAGCCAAGCCAGCCCTGATGCTGCCAGTTGTGTGGCTGGCCAGCACCATTCTGCTAGGATCTGATCCTGTTCCAGCCTGTTCTAGTTTCTTTGCATGTGGGTCCACAAGCAAAGATGTGATCTAAGGCATCTTTAGGCATTTAACAAGAAAAAAAAGAGACTGGCCTAGGTCAAAGCCTGAAGGACAAGGTCTTGATTTAGCATTGTGAATGGATGAAGAAGTTCATGGGATGTGACTACGAAGCACCCTCAGCTGTCTGGTTGGGTGAAGAGGGGGAAAAAGGGGAAAGAAACACTGATACCTACCATCTTTTACCCAACTAAATCTACAACAGCAACAGTGGTCTGCAGAGTATGCTCAAGAGAGCATTCAACCCTGCCTCCACACCTTCCACTTGCACCAAATTTTGGCAGCAACATGTTCCCATGCAGAAAAACACTGGTCATCTCCTTGTGTCTCCTCATCAAGTATCCTAATGGCTACCCTCCTCCTGTGTCTTCCTGTGGAGGAGAGTAACTGTGGCTAAGCACAGGAGGGGTTGATCTACTTGTGTGCAAAAGGATTGCCCAGGAGGGAATCCTACCATGGGCAACAGTTCTGGGAATCATTCCTCTCTTTACGAAAACTTTCTTTCAAGCTTGCTGCCAGCAGGGAAACAGTGGGACTAATCAGATAATATGAACACAACAACCTAGCCTGAAAGCAAACAGCCTTGGTGCCCTGAGGTGGCAATGACCTCTCTTTTTAGCTACTTAGCGCAACACTCCTGCTGTGCCTGGTTCTCCAGGGAAGGCCAGGGCTGGCTAGATGGAAGGCAGCACAGCCTCTCTGTGGTGGGAGCCTTAACACACTAGAGGCTGACAGGCAGCACAGTCCCAGGTAAAGTACCGAGGTGGAATAAGCTGCCTGGACATAAGCTGCTCTGAGGTGGCTCAGAGCACAAACACTCCCATAAACAGTGATAAGGGAAACAAAATCAAAGGTAGTGATCCCTAATTATTGTTGCTTTGGGGATCAGCTCTGTCCAGAGCTCATTAGCAATTCACACCTTCTGCTCAGGAAAGGCAGGCAAGCATCATAAATAAGCAGGACGGGAGAAAAGGCTTGACGCAAAAGGGGGAACAAAACAGACCAAAAAAAGAAGTTTAGCCAGTCAGCTGAATAGTCTCACTGCAAGGAGCACAGCAGAGCTGGGAACGGGGGCACATATAACAAGGCTCAAGTAAGTCTTTTATTTACCAGATAGCAATTTCAAAGTCCTGTGTTATTAGGCAACTCTGCTAGGGCTATTGAGATGCCAAGCTCCCCAGAGGCACCTGCACAGCTTCCCCTGAGCCCAAGGGGAGCACCAAAGCACATCACCTGATCCAGAGCACATGGAACGGCACTTCTGTGTTTGGCAATGCTTGGGTTTGCCTGGATGGGGAAATGCATATTTTTGAATCATGTTAGCTGAAAATGCATTTGGTCAGGGCAAAGATAATTGTTCTCTTCCATTTCCAGCTGTGCCAATTAGGAATGTTAATTCCAGCTGCTCATCAATATGTCATCCGCTACAGGTCAGTCAGCATGATGCTTCAGGGCCAAGTAAGGGCTTTGCCCAGGTCAACTCTGACCACAGTTATCAGCAAGTTAATTTAATGGCAGAGTGCAGCAGAGTAGAGGTGGGGTGTCCATCCAGTCCAGTTTAAGAACTACCATCACCTTCACCAGTTCCTACCATTTAAAAATGACTGTCTTTGCTCCCTTAGATATTGGAAACCCTCACATGCACACACAGCAAGGGATGCTCCAGTACGTGTTATTTGGCTTCTCCTTAGCCAGTAAACTTATTACAATGCACCATGCCTTCCTGGGAAATACATTTAAAAATAATGTTAAATAATAACAATTTAATGAGAGCTTTAGTCAGCTGCCAACCCCACCACTAAATTAATCCATGCCACTGCACTCCTCTCCTCCAGAACTGCTCCTCCTGGGCAGTCTGCAGTTGCTTTTACTAGGACATTCTCTGCCCATACTTCCCTCATTTCATGAGACTCAACAATAGGATATTCCACCCAACTCTGTCAACGCTTTTACTTTCTGCTGACTAAAAATCTCCAGATTCCACATAATACTTTAAAAGTTTCAACTGGTGTTACTGCTCTTAAATCAAAACCAAAGTTTGGGTCCCCTGCTGGAGAGCAATAATTTGCTAATAAACCACATGTCCTAGAACTGCACCATCAGCTTTGCTGAGCTGAGGGCACAAGGGACAGAAAATAATCAGAAAAAAAAAAAGAAGTAAGGAAGGAGAAACAGACTGCTGAATGAACAAAATACTTTTCCTTCAGAATCTCTCTATTTCTGCTCTTCCGGCTAGTCTAGGGAATTAGGGGTTGTAAGAAAGGACAAGAGTGAGGATTCACAGATGTTATCCATTCACCATGCCTCAGTTTCCCCACCAATAAACTGGGACAATACCATCTGCCTCCTGAAGGTAGCTCATTTGCACTAGAAGCCCCAGACAATGCCGCTACCTCACTTGGGATATGGGATCAGTTCCTTCAAGCCAGGAGTCTCTCGGCAGCTCAGTCATCCAAATAATTCTTCACTGCAGAACAAAGGAAAGGCAGAAATAGAAAATAAACACAGGGAAAAATCAGACTAATGCCTGGGATTTACTGATTACTCTCTGGGCTGCTCAGGAAACTCCCAGGGAGGCATAGTCTGTAAAACTGTATCACAAGAAAATCTGTACAGCTTTGGCATAATTCCCTATGCAGCTCTCCAGGAGAGCAATACTAAAAGTAGGGGCTCACCTGAGCTAGCTGTGGATGGAAAGCTTTCCCTCCTACTAATACAGGAGAAGGTTAGTTGGGGTATGTACCTAGGCATACTGGAAGCCCACAGGAAAAGAAAGAGCCAAGCTCGCTTAGCTGACCCATCCCTGCACTTCACACTGCCTTATCATTTTAGTGGCAAGCTCAGCACAGCGTCTCCTAAGTTGCAACAACGAAGCCTTCCTCCCTGTAGCTCTCCTTTCCATGAAGGGAATCCTCTGGGACAGAGCTGAAATGCAGCACTCAGAAAGCTCACATGATAACTCATCATGGTTCACAGCCGGTAGTAGGGACACAGGACTTCACTCACAGCAACATCTATAAGTAGTGCCAATTAAAAGAGGTGAGTGAAATGGGTGCTTCACATCCAGGCAGCAGCTCAGAGCACACAGAGCTGCCCTTCTGAAGCTCATCATTAGACACTCCACAAAGTCAGGTCCCAGCAGCTTTGGATGCACACAGAGATCTAAGACCAGATGCCTCCTTTGCTCCACAGGTATGACAAGGCATTGGGCTATTTTTGTTGAATTCTGGCAATACTCGCTCACAATCTGGAAACCTTTTCAAGCTAGAGAGACCTGGAATGGATTTCAATCCAAACTGACTTATGTGCTGATTACAAATATCATTTGCGGGGACCATCTTGGGCAGGGAGCCCAAAATGGCTCACATAAAGGCAGAGACAAAGAGAGAAGAGAAAAAGAAGCAGCTTTGCTTACAGGGTTGAGCTGGATCCCATTTAATACATTTTGTAATGAATTAATAAAATCTTTCTTTCCAGCAGAAAGGCTAAAAGCGCTTTTCAAGCACTGGCATCCACCCTCTGCTTTTATGAATTCCCTAATTAAGATACTGGCAAAGAGCCATATCACCCATACGTCGACATCCAACAGCATTAGGTAATGAGGTTTTCATCTTGTGACCCTCATAAAACAGATCAAAGCCAACTGAAGAGGTAGGGGCAAATGAAAAAACGCTTCTCTGAGTAGTCTTTACATGCCTTATCACCTGCCAGCATACTTGAGCCATTCTTTTCACAGAAGAATTAACGGTTCCTTCATCCATAAATTTGGCTGGAGTATTAATATCAGTCCAGCAGAAACAGGTTTTGTTTAAATTCAAGCGCTAACTTGCAGTTCATATACACACTTCCATTTTCTCCACGCTCCTGGAATCATTTTGCATGCTGGCAAATATTTTCACACATGCTCTACCCACAGTGTGCTTGGAAATATTTATCAGACAAGCTACTACACAGCAGAGGATGATCCTCCAGCAAACTCTAAGATAAATTTTGCAGAACAACCCTCTGCATTGCTAAAGCAGAAAAGGCTGGATCCGACCTGCATCTCTTCCTTTGGCCTTGCAGAGACTATCCCATAAGCACATCCTGCCTCAGCTCAGACCACTGCTTTTTGAAAAATTCTGTAAGAACAGCTTTACTGAGTAAAAACTATGTTGGCCTTTTCCCTATTCTTTATGCTCTTCCATAGACAGTCATTAGGAACTGCCTGTAAGAAGCAGCAATACACAAAGTAACAATACTTTCTTTAAACACACACCTGACATTTTGCAGCTTTGGTACTGCCTCAGTACAGGGTGTTCTCTTTGCATTTAATGCACTTTTCTGCTTCAGTTATTTTTTTTTCAGTTGTTGTCTGATCCACAAGTACATTTTTAAGGGTTACAACATCCTCTGGCAGGGAGTTTCACAGCACAGCCACAGGTTATGGGAAGAACCCCTTCTGTTTGTTCTGAGCTAGTCAGCTGCTTGTTTCATTTGATAGCCCTAATTTTTTATTGACAGTGAAGGTTCATTGTTTAAAGTTACAAATAGCATGCAGAGGATATAGACCTATATTGGGTCACCTTGCAGTTGTGTTTTCAAGCTTAAAAGGACCTGGAATGCTTGGCAGAATCTTGCATAAAAGTTTTCCCCACCTTTGATCATCCTTGTCACTCTCTTAAGTTCTTTCCATTTTCATTATTTTGCTACAAAATGGACCAGTCTCCTCAGTTTCATTTTCCTGACGAGTTTCCTCAAGAGAGTTCTGTGCAGCTCAGCATTGTCAGTAGGGCTGCCTGTCGAAAGACTAGAGAGCTATTGGAAAGAAGTGGTGAGTTTAAACCACCACAACATTATGGAGATGCATTTATATCGGTTTAAACCAGATCATATTAATTACACCTACAATTTGTAAGTGCAAGCCAATCTGATAAGTGTCCCTATAGAAAATTGCATTCACTTAGCATCATGACTCCAGTTAAACAAGCATGACTCTGCCTAGATGAGGCCTTTCAAAACTAGCCATGTATCATGTCATATTAAGACTCATTTGGAAAGTTTTCTTTACAATCATAACAGCTCAGAAGGTAATGCTGAACAGAATAAAAGTTTAAATTATGAAATCAATATCTTGGTTGTCATGCATTCTGACACCTGAAACACAGCTCTCTTCCTCTGGCTTAAAGGGATTTTGTTTTCTTCCTCCCTAACTGCTATTCAGTACCTTTCTCATCACTGCAAGTGGAAAGAATTTTATCTTTTGGCAGTATCTTTGTACTGAGAGGTTTTCACCTGTAACACACCAAAAAAGAGTAGTTCTACGGTCCTTTCAAAACTAGTGTGTTCCATCATGACAACTTCTAAAAAACCCCCCCAAAACCTAAAGCAACTACAAGTCCCCAGACACTTTGCAAGAATTTTCTCTGGCAGCTAAAATCAGTCTCTTTTCATTCTGTGACCAAGAGATCCCTGACAGGCTCAACCTTTTTACCATCTCTCTTTTTGTAAGGTAGACCCTACTACTTTAACTCCCCTTGTCTACCATACCTCAAACAACAATCACCAAAAAAGTATTTCAACTCCCTGCTAGGCTCACCGAAGGGAAGCTTGGACAGTCAGCACACTCTCCTCTGGACTCCCTTTTGTGGTTATATTTGGGTTAGAGTGTCTAGAAATGCCTGTGTCTCTAATGAAAGCCTAACCAATGAAATAGACAAGAAACTCCCAACCATATGACACAGTAGGACGAGAGGGAATCTCAACAACATTTTCAAAGGTGGGTGTCAAGAGGATGGTGTCAGACTCCTTTCAGTGGTGCCTAGTGACAGGAGGAGGAGCAATGGCCATAAACTGAAGCCCAAGAAGTTCCCCCTCAACATCACGAAGAGCTTCTTTACATTGAGGGTGGCGGAACACTGGAACAGGCTGCCCAGGGAAGTTTGGTTCTCCCTCTCTGGAGACATTCAAAACCCACCTGGACACGTTCCTGTGTAACCTGCTGTAAGTAACTCTGCCTTGGCAGGAGGATTGGGCTAGATGATCTCCAGAAGTCCCTTCCAACCCTAATGATTCTGTGACATTCACCTTTAGGTTAATGGCTGATGACACAAACACTACAAGCCCCAAATCCTTTACCTGGTCTTTCTACTCTGGTTATTTTCGTCTGCTATGCATAATCTCACCTGAAAGGCTTCAGGACAGAAAGGTGACCAGTGAAGTTCACTGGTTCATCGATTCTGCCCCATCTCAGCCATTTGTGATGAGAGTTCAGGCCTTTGCTATCCCCAAAGTATCCACAACCCTCAGATTTGAACTACAGGTTCTCCACTGCCTCCTCGGAGTCACTGTTCAGCGCAGGAGCCAGAACAACGTATGCTTCAGAGAGACCTTAACTAACATGACTCAGATGGTTAACACAAATATAAACCTTCAACAAAGCTTACCAGCATCCCTCCTGCCACTCAGCAGATTACAGAATCATGGAATCACAGAATGGGTCAGAGTGGAAGGGACCACCGTGCATCACCTGGTCCAACGTAAGGTCATCCTAGAGCACATGGCACAGGACTGCATCCAGACAGTTCTTGAGCATCTCCGGTGAGGGAGACAAATCACCCAAGTGCAACAATAAAAAGCCATTTTTACAAGGGAGGCGTGTTATTAAAAAACAGCCTTTCCCCTTCCTCCTCGCTGTGATCTACAGGCCCCTCACATGCTGGTTCACCACCGGGCTCCTCACAAGAAGCAGAAGGAGCTGCCCGTGTCCCGCACACGGCTGACTCCCACCGCCGCAAGGCCCATACCGCGCTGGGGCCGCAGCAGCGGGCACAGCCCCACCGCCCCTCACGGCACTGGTTCCAGGGCTCGGCGGGAGCAGGGACACCAAGCGCCATCGCTCACGGCCCGGCGGTGAGGACGGTGCTCCGAGCTCCCCGCTCAGAGCCCGGCGGTGAAGACGGTGCTCGGTGCTCCGCGATCCCGCTCCCGGCCCGGCCAAGCCCCCGCCCCCCCTCACCTCCCGGGCCACGCTAGGCCCCGCGCGCCGCCTGCCCATGGTCCGGCCCGGCCCGGCCACGCATGCGCACGCCTTGGTGAGGGGCCGCGCTGGGCGGGGAGGGGAGCGAGCGCCATCTTGGTGAGGGCGCTGCTGCCCGGGCCCTCCATCGGAGCCGCTGGGCCTGGCCCTGGGAGCACTCTTGGCGTGGTCTGGACACAGCCGGGAGCGAGTGGCAGCCAGAGCGGTGCCTCCTGCGTTGTGTCGGTGCAGCCCGCAGGCTGCTGTGTCCGTTCCAGTGGTGGTGGGTGAGGGATGGTTGGAGGAGGACCAGCCGGCCGGAAAGCTGATGTGGGACCTATTGGGACCTGCCTCGTCCTGCCTCTCCACCCCTCAGAAACCCCTGCTCCCTCGGGCGGGGGTCTGCAGGTTGCTGTCTGTCCTGTCTTTCCCAGAGGGCAGATCCGAGCTGATCAGCTGGTTTTCCCCCCAAGGGAGTCAGTGCAATCCTGCTCCTGGCCTGCGCTGGGCAGGACACTCCAGCCCAGCTCTTCTATTGCTGGGGGTCAGGGCTCACCTAGAAAGAAGGCAATCTTGGAAACACAAGGCAAAACCAGCACAGCTGCTTTGCTGCATGTTGGGATCACTGAGAATTTTTTTCTGGACATCAAGAGGAATTTTTTCTCGGAAAGGGTTGCTAAACATCAGAATGGGCTGCTCGGAGATGGTGGAGTCACCATCCCTGGAGGTATTTAAGGAAAGACTGAATGTGGCATTTAATGCCATGTTCTAGTTGACATGGTGGTGATCAGTCACAGGTTGGACTCAATGATATCAGAGGTCTTTTGCAACCTAAATAATTCTGTGATTCTGTGATAAAGGCTGTCCTTGGGACTTCCTACTCAAACATCAGCTTTATGCTAAAGCAGCTGAGGAAAAACAGGCTTTGTGATCTACCAGCAGACAGCACTTTGTGCATGCTAGCCAGTTCATTGCAAGATGCTTATCACAATGTTACATATGCATGGAAGCTCTTGTTCTGTCCCAAGAAGGCTTTTTATGAAACACTGCTATCTGGTATTTAAAAAAAAAAAACCCAACCAACCAGAAAAAAACAACCAGCCAAGAACTACTGAAATGTATTTGTCTTCAGGGTAGGACATGATTGCTACATGACAGAGAACAGCAGATCTATTTGCTGACCAAAAAATAGAAGGCTGGGCAGCAGCAGCAGCATTTATTAGACACACAGACTGAATTTTCATTTTGACTAAATAGCCTCTGCTAACTGAAATTTTGCTAGGATGGCAGGAGTGCAGATGCCTGTCATAGAAAGAGTGATATTACTGATACCTAATTAGTGTGTTTCATTTTTCTTTCAAACAATAGCCCCCTGCATTTTTACTATGTGAGGTGGTATGTGTTGGTAACAGCATCAATCTCATTTTATGTCTGGAGAAAATGAGGGACAGCTGTACTGTTTTCTGCTTCCCAGTCTGCTATTTGACTCCATGTTACTGCTGAACCTAAAGGAGCCAGAACTCCCACCTCCAAGGTGAGACACAGATAACTGCTTTCCAAGCAAAAGCAGCTCAGTCAGAAGGCAGTAAACAAGCTGAGGAGGACCCACCCAGCAGCTCTGGGAAAGCACAGCGTCAGGGGGAGGGAGAAAATGAAAAAGAGTGAGAATGTTATTTTTTCCCCTCTTAGAGAGAAGACTTGCTTAGGGAGTGTAAATACAATCTAAAAATGCATACAGGTTTGAAGAAACCCATCTGTTATGGTTTGCAGTGGGCTGAAATAGCCATCAGTTCAGCAGAAAGCGTTTTCTCCTTTACAAAGGTGAGTATTGATTCATAGCAGGACTGTCAATTCTCACATATACACTTCTCCACAGAGACAAACATACACCATTTTCTGGGCAGACGACTGTGACCTTTGTTGTTACATCTTTTGGGAAGAAGAAAAGGGGAACTGGTTCCTCCCTCACCAAGAAGCCGCCATTCCCACTGTTGCAAGCAGCAATTTTCAATTCTCATGTTACTCCTCCTGGCACTCCTAAATCCATCAAGCTGGTAACTTCATTATGCCTGTTACGTGGTCTTGGGTCTCCTGGTTCTGCCCTCAGCTGACACCTTCTCTTCATTCTTCCCTGTGTTGTATCTTCATTTCCTTTGTAATGTCATTCAGGTCATCTACATGCTAATGCAAGAAAGAACAACTGTTCTTTTTCCTCAGCAAACTTATAATATTTTCCTTCTTGAAACATGAGGAAAAGCGATGGAAGGTTTTCACATGCAATGTCATCAGCTTCTGTATTTTAGAATAACCACAGACATGCGTATGAATTTGAAGTACTCCATATCAAGCTGACTTGATGGCTGCTGACTGGCCATGCACATATCTAAGCTGGAAATCAGAAGTTTCTAGCTGTGAGAGCAATCATATTATGGAACACATCTCCCGCCAGAGGGGTAAGAGGAAAAGAGTGGAATAGTTTTTAGTAATCTCTTGAATGGGATAGTCTAACAGAAAGCCTGTAAGAGGAAGGTGTAGGATGTGATGACATACAGATGAACACCAAATAACATATCCAGTACTGAGATTGGATTAAAGTCCTGGTAAGATCGCTCAGGGTCTCTGATTAGGCTGTCCCTGCACTGGGGGTCACATCCCTGCAGCCAAAATGAGTGATGAAGTGATGTTAGAAACTAAAAATACATGTGTCAGTCTGAAAGGAAAATTCAGAAGACACTCCACCTACATGCCCAGAGGCAGGATCAGATACCCTGATGCCACCCAAGCAGATGTTTGCCTTATCTGTGCTTAGCGCGTGCCAGGGATGCTGCCACCTCCTACCTGCTACACTGCTCATTGACTGATTGGCAAGGTTTCCCTCCTCTTTGTAACCAAACTGAGCTTGTTGCATCTTGACCTATTCTCAGCACACATGGGGAGGAATTGATCCGCATCTTCTAACAACCTTATATATTTGAGGTTCATTATCATATTCCCTCTTCTCTTCCTGCTAGACTAAATCCTCTCCTTTCAACCTTATGCATTTTGCACCTATTATATATCATTTGTTACCTTTCTGCAGTCCAAACCTAGACTAATCCTCGTTAACTTGGGGGTATGTAGAAAGAAAAAATGACCCCCTGTGCAAGACTGATATGTTGTTGTCTTAAACGTTGTCAAAATCATAGAAAGACTTTTTTGTCAAACTGCGAGGAAAAAACTG